GTTGTAGAGATAACTCTCAGCTTCAGCTGTGAGAAAACTTTCACATTGAACATTTAGCCAAAAACTCGCAGAATATACAGGTATGTGATACAATCAATACGCATGAGGTAGTCAAGACAAACACTAAATGAAATTATTACTTGAAACTTGTAGAAACTTGGGACTTTGTTTATCGCAATTTGTAATTACAGTGTGGCAAACATAATTTGATAAGCAAAATTCTCTCTCCTTCGGTCTTTATTGGCTGTCACACCCTCCAACCTCTTGGCTGTCCCCGGGCAAACAGGACAGGCGCAGCCCGTGCGCCCGCGCCATCGAGCACTTCCACCGCGCCAGCCTGCTCGGCCGCCTGCAGAGGGGGGAGGAGCAGGCCCAGGTGATGGCCCAGGTGATGGCCGAGCTGGCCACCATTCCCTACCTGCAGAGAGTCTCTCAGGAGGATGACAAGCTGGTAGGTTTGGATTTCTGACACTCCCTTTGCGGGCTGGGAGGGAAGGGAAGGGCCAGAGAAGAGTTCTGTGCCGCCACGTTCTCTCTCTCTGCAAGTAATTTGTCCAGTGTGGGCACCTGAAGGAATTTTTAAATCCTCCTTCAGTGCTTTGTCAGAGGAGGTGCTGATCACCTGCAAGGGCAACTTTGATAGAACCACTTGTCAGCATCTGTTTAAAACCCCTCCTTCCCCCCCCAGACCTCCCCATGATTGCAATCGTTCAGATCACTCTCCCTTGACATTCCCGACCTCAAAAGGCACCTGCAGCAAAACAGCCCAAATCCAGTTATAACTAAGGAGGAGAGGGGGGGGGGAAAGAGGGAAAATTGATTTTCTGTGCTGGGTCCATCCACCACATGCTCCCTGTCTCGGAACAAACCCACCTGCCTGCTCGTGGAAAGTTCTCAGACTTGCTGCAGAGGTGCCATAAACTGGTGGAGAATCAGAGGCTGTTGAGGAACACGTGGAGTGGCCCCTTAGCTGAGCAAACCAGCCAGGGCCAATGGTGGGATGATGGCTGGAGCAAACCAGGCCAAAAACTGTGGTATTAAAGTGGGGTGTGGGAAAAAAGAGCTGCTACAGGGCCTCTCTGACAAGGGACAACCAAGATGTTCTGATGCTGAAGCCACAACCACGTGGAACCCCCTCCTCAGAGGCCAAACCACGACCACCACCCCCCTCCCATTAAACACACCCATCAGAAATAAAAGGCCTTTGTGACTTGAGCCACTCAAACTCCACCCTAACATAAAGAAAACGGGATAAAAGTTGGGAGTAGGGGGAAAAGGGGGGAAGACCTCCACCAAAACTGCTGGATCAGTCACCTGGCTGAGCCCATCTTCTCTCCCCCAGGAGGGTTGCCTTGGGTGAGAAATACACTCTGTGCATGTTAAATGCTGCTTTTACCACTAGAATTTTTGCTTGTGCTCACCCCAGAGCACATTGATTAGATTGCTTCATATTAGAGCTTGTGCCTGCTCAATACATGCACCAGCAGGTTGCTTTAAAACACATTTTTGCAGTAGACAGTCACCAACAACCTTCCAACCTCATTAATCTGTCCCGATTTGTTTTAATAAAAAGTGTTATTCTGCCAGCTGTTAAAGGGAGTCCTTGCAGTCCCTCCACCTTGGCAGGACCCGCTGAGGGGTCCTGGCTCTGCTGAGTTCCCCCTGACGAGGGTGGTCGAGGTGCCTCTGCTGGGGAAAGGTCTCCTCACGAGACACCGACAGGCTGTTGGGCACCAAGGTCTCCACTTTCCTGGGGGACCGACGAGTAAAATTCCAAACTCCCACTTTTCAGGTGACACCTGGGCTCAGTCAGCAGCCAGTGCCTCTCCCCTTCCCCTTTGGGTAAACTTTGTGCCTCTGATTTCATTGAAGTGGACCCGGGAATATTTATATACACAGACATGGAGCTGATAGATCTTAATTACTTGTAAGGGGTAACAAACTGGGGGAGAGGCTCCAAAAAGTGTTGTTTGGGTTCACTTCAACCCACTCAACATTTTGGAAGAGACCTACCAGTGTGCAACGATCCCACAGGTATCAAACACCAGTTTCCCCCAGTTTGTTCCTGAACAGTGATGCCAAGGGCTGCTCCAGGCAGGACCCCCTGGATCCAACCCTTGTCTGTCACTGAATTAAGAGCAACTGGACCATTTCCCAGGGTTTGGGAGGTGTGCAGGGTGAGACAATGCCAGGACTGAGGTGGAAGGGGACTGGGGGGAGGCCACAGCCCAGCATTTTAGATCTGCTGTAATGCAGGGCAGTGGCTGAGGCAAAGATGTGAAAGGTGAGTCACAAACTCGTCAGAGTGCAAATTATTTTTAGTGGGGTTTTAATCTGCATATGCTACATTCAGCTAAGTCATTTCTCCCTGAATTCCACACTGACCCTTTGTGTCTGGGTGCCACAGCTGCAGTCCCTGACAGCAGATGCCATGGACGTCCTGGCGGGAAGAACCAGGGATCGCGTGTGGACTAAAATACAGAAGGTAAAAACCTGGCAGCCAAGGGCAGGAGGGCAGATTGTTCCTGGGGGAAGGAAATGTCCCACTGAGCCCCACCAGGGAAAAAAAGGAGGGGTCATAGGAAACCTGCCCACAGGCCTCGAACTCTGTCCATGCTCAGGCACCGAGCACAGGGACACATCTGGGATCTGCTGGGAGTGGGGAAGGGTCTGAAAGCCACCACTGCTCTGCCAACACCATCACAGCTCCTCAGCTGCCCCAGGGACAGTGCAGGGGTGGCAGCAACTGTTATTCCCACTCCCAGTGTTTCCACTCCTTATTTTGGAGGCTGGAGCTGACAGATGCTCTGTAAATATGGAAAGCACAAACAGTTCCACAGGTGGGAACATCCTCACCCTGGGGGTTCCTGGGGACACCCCGAGCAGTGCAGACACTGCTGGCTGTTCCTAAAAGAGCTGCTGTAAATCCAGCTGCTCTTCTGGTGTCCCCCACCCATCACCTGGCACCCCTTTTCCTCGCTCTTACCGCCCTCTGTGCTCACCCAAAGCCAAGCACTACCTCCCCAAAACATAACAGGCATTTTTAACCACAGGGGAAAGTCGTGCAGACATTTTAATTTGCTCTGTTGCAGACCTGGGGGCTGAGTGGCTCTGGTTAAGGTGGCCAAGCCCTGGGCTGGACCTTCCAAGACAAACACAGTGGGATCAGCCTTTTTGGGACTTCCCCGTGTGCTTTTGGCCAGTCCATCATTTCCCAAGCTTTAATTTCAGCTTCTTAGAAACGAGGCTGGCACCAGGATTCCTGTGGGCACGAGGAGGAGGCAGAGCCCCTCTCCCAGACTCCCCGTGCCCCTGGCACCCCAGGGCAGCAGATGGAATTGTCCCTAAACTTCCCTGCCTGCCTCTCTCACCAGCACACACCCCTCACCAACCAGAGCACGCAGCACAGCTCCAGGGGCAGGGCTGAAAAGCACTTCAGAACAGCTCCAGACGTGGATAAACACAAGGGGAATTGTATTATTAGGACTCATTCCCAGCCAGCTCCTCTGTGCAGGGAAGGAAGGAGCCCCACTGAATGTCTGCCAGCAGGGCAGAGCAGGACTTCTTTTTTATTTTTTAATTATTTCACCTCAAAATGCACTTGGCAGGTTGATTCTTTAGATGCTCCCGTTGTCCAGGGTGTGGGGTTTGGGTGATTCCCACCCTCACCCATCAGAAACACTGGGGGCTGTAAGAGCTGACAAAGGCCTGGGATAAAGGTCAGGAATGGGGAGAGAGCCAGGAAATGCTGGATGCCTGGGACTGACAGAACACCTGCAAATGCTGCTGGGAGTCAACATTTGTGGGTGTCTGAAATCCCCCTGGCAGTGCAGATGTGTCTGTCTCAACGTGCCCTTAATCAGAATAATTCCCTTTTACTTGGGGGAAAGTAAAATTGCTTTTTTACTCTGCCCTCCAGTGGATTATATTCCTTGGGAAAACATCTTGATTTGGAGCTTCACTTTGATTTACTGGGAAACCAAATCCTGCCACAGCAACGTGGAACACTCGTTTTTCTCCAGGTGTTGATTTTTGGCACGTAAACGGCAGAAGCTTCACTTCTCTCTTCCCATCAAGAAAAACCTGCCAGACAACAATTTCCTCCTCACCCCTTCCTTGTCCAGTGGCTGTTTTCCAACACAATTCACAGACAAGAGTCGTGAGAAATTCCTGTCTCAGTGGAAGTGTCCAATCCACGGCAGTAATTGAGTCCAAACAGAAAGAAAGAACAAAAATAAAATAATTACAAAGCCAGGCACCAAATCCCACAGATATTGGCACGAGAGGTGCCTTCGTGTGGTTTTTGTTCCTAATGACAATTAGTTTTTGGGATCAACTAATTGAAAAGCTTTTTAAATTTTCACAAGGGGGGGAAAATGGACTTGCTGGTGATGCCACTTTGATAATTGCAGGTGGCACGAATAGAGGAGGAGCTGAGGGAAGGAGAAGAGGATTTCCTGAGGGTGAGGGAAGGAGAAGAGGATTTCCTGAGGGTGAGGGAAGGAGAAGAAGAGGATTTCCTGAGGAACAGGAGGCTGCAAACCCCTGGAGTGGAAAACAGGAGCTGGACCCCGCTGGGACAGGAATATCTGAGGCTGGAAAACTCAAACATGTTCATTCCCAACCCACGCAGTTTGGCCACAGAGCCAAAAAAAAGGTGCACAGATTTTGTGAATAGCTGATTTTGTGCATATTTTTGTAGCTATTGGTATCCATTTAACAGATAATCTCATTTTAAATTGTATTAACCTCGTTGTATTCATTTATATTGAATTAAATTATATTTAACAGCATAAACTCTAGTTGTATTACTTTAAATTTAAATGGCATTAAATAGCATTTGCTTGCATTTAAGTTGTATTGCTTTAAATCTAAATTGCATTAAATTGTATTTGTACCAATTTTAAGCTGTATTCATTTATATTTAAATTGCATTAAATTGGATTTAATGTATAAATTCTGGTTGTATTAGTTTAAATTTAAATGGCAACAAATAGTATTGACTTGCATTAACTTTAAGTTGTATGAATTGAAATCTAAATTACATTAAATTGTATTGATTTAAGTTGTATGAATTTAAATTTAAATTCCATTAAATTGTATTCATTTGCACTAACTTTGTGTTCATTTAAATTTAAATGGCATTAAATAGTATTTACTTGCAATAACTTAAAGTTGTATTAATTTACATTTTTAATTAATTGTATTAAATCGTATTTATTAAATTGCATTAAATTTTATTTATTTGAATTAATTTTAATTTGTATTAATTGATATTCAGATTGTGTTAAATCGTATTTAAATGTATAAATTCTAGTTGTATTAGTTTACATTTAAATGGTATTAAAGAATATTTACTTGCATTAAGTTGTATGAATTTGAATTCAAATTTAAACTGTATTTAATTTTAAGTTGTATGAATTTGAATTTAAATTTAAACTGTATTTAATTTTAAGTTGTATGAATTTGAATT